AAGTTTAATTGCACGAAAATTCACCATAATTCCTGCTCGATGTTGCCCTATCGAAATTATCCCCGAAAGTTTCATTTCGTTCGATGCCAATTCCATCAGAGTCCGAAACAAGTTAAAACATAGCGTCCGGCTGGCGGATCAATTTAATTGAAAAGTTGATTAGACTAGGAGTTGAAAGCAGCGATATGTTGTTTTTTTAACGAAATTATCCTGCCGCGGCTGCGATGTTTCTCTGTTTCAAAGCTTTCATGCGGAATATTATTTACCTTTCGAATGGATTTTGTAATGCTAGGATAACTCTCGTACCTTGCTTCTCAGAGTGATAACAGAGTGTTCCGAATGCTATCGTAAAATTGAAAAAAACCTTCTCAATGGGATCTGTGTAACGTGTAAACGTCCTTTTCGAAAAACGTGCATGCGGTTCGAAGCAGCAGGTTGTTTAAGAAAAAAAAAAAAAAAAAAAAAAAAAAAAGAAAAAAGAATTATGTAAAAGCACGCCGCTTTATTCTCAACAGAGAGAACAAGAGAAATAAAAAGAGAGAAACGAAAGAGGATAAGAAATGAAGAAAAAAAAAGGATAATACGAGTGAATTTGAAACGGAATGAAACGTTGCGAGAAACAACGTACCTGATTGTAGTAACAGGGATATCGGCTCTGCGCCGTCTGATTGTCGCCATCTCGGCCGTGAGTGGCGAGGAAATCTTTACATTCCCCTTTCAGAGTGTTGACGCAACCTTCGAAGTTGATATAAAGGCGGGAACTGTTGTATATCGTGAGGGATCTTTGTGCCGGCACGTAGACGTTCGCAGGATCCGCAGGATACTGTAAACTCCTCTCGTATATATTCAGGAAACTCGTAAAGTTGATGCTCGGCACCGGCACCGGGATATCCCTTAACAAAGTGCCATTTACGCAATCCTCCGTCCTGCGGGAAAGAAGTCAAAACACGATTTATAAAACGACGTTTAAAACACCGTCGCGCGTTTCTTCTGCGGCGCATGCTATTTCAGAAAATTATATTCGAGAGAATACGCTTGGTCTTTGAGACGAAGTTCTCTGGCTAAATTTCACGTACCCAGGCTGTGCATTTTTTAAACTTGTGACACTGTTCTCCGAGAGAAGTGAAATTGGGTGAAAAATATGGAACAATTTCATTTTTCACGCTAAGAGCACAACGTTTCTGATTAAATTGATACTGAACGTTCGATATGTATGGGCTTGGTAATAATAAATGGCTGGGATAATTCAAAAGCTAGCTATCCAACAAATGTGAAAAATATTACTTTCTCAATATCTTTTTATAGAGGATTCCGTTTTGAGGTTAAATTGAAAAAGAATGGTTAGATCGAACGTAATACCTAGGGCAGAATTATATTGACAAAAACAGAAGAGTTGTTAACAAAAGAAATTGTTGAATATTTTATTGTCTAACGTGGTGATCTAAAACAGAACAATTTACACTGTTCGTATTTGTTAGACACGTTGAAATGCAAGATCGCGTGTAATAGTCGACTATTAGTCGAATCAATACGAAATTGAAGCTTCGCGCGTGAACAAATAATATTCTGTATTGTCTGCAAATTTTCGGATGGTACTAACAATTTCTGCAGGTGTCGGGTTTCATCTAGAGAACAAATTATTGACAAAGTGGAACGGTACATTCCACGTTTCTCCTATCCACTTCGATAAAACGTTCCTTCGTAAACACATTTCTCGAGAGAAATTTCGCTTCCCTCCGACCGCGAATGCTCGGATACACGTCTCTTGGAACGACTCTTTTTTATTCGGTGTGTCTCGGTGTGTGAGAAGTTTTCTTCGTTTTCTTCTGATGGCTCACACTCGTGAGACACCGTTCGACCTCTTTTTTACGCCCGCGCAACCTCCGACGAAGATGTAATAGAAGGGAACAGATGAGGTATCGAAATGAAAGAAACGCGAGACGAGTCGGACAAACTAGAAAGATAGAGGTGAATCGGTGGGCAAAGCCACAGGATCAATGGTTGCCATGGAAATGCCCTTATCGGCGTCTTCTAGACCTAAAGAATCTGGATATGTGAAAACGCGTGATACACAAATGATACGAAAATCATACGAAATAATTACGAATAATTTCGACACTTGCCAGAGGAAATTATACAATAACATACATCTCTTGCAAAAGGGTGGTTCTTCAAACGCAAGTAGTCCGGAGATATTTAAAATATTCGAACAATTGGAAATAACACCGTTGAATTCGTTTGACGATACGCGGTGAAATCAAATTAAAGACTTGAATTCAGTTTCGTGAACACGAAAGCAACTTTTCCCTATGGACACTTCCAAAAATATAGAGCTTTGAAGTGGCAGGTGTCTCGAGTCGATCGGAAATTTCACGTTTACCAACCATGTAGCGTGTAAAATAATTTAGGGAAGCGACGACGAGTCGCTATTGATGCAAATTGGGGCGCGAGTCCTATTAATGCGATTGCCCGCGTACACAGTTCCACGACTATGAATTGTAACATAATTCACGGTAGCAAACACGTTTGGGAATTTCACGCCCAAGGAGCTTGCCATCGAAGGTTTTCCCAGCTCGTTCCGAGAGCCGGTGGAATCGAGTATTGACTCGGAAAGGCAGGACGCAGATTGCCGTTTTATCGCGTGAGTTTACACGACCAGCGAGGAATATCGCGGTAGACAGCTTTTCATCAGTCCATTGTGCGGTTTCTCGAATTACCTCGAGGCCCTTTCTCTCTCTCTCTCTCTCTCTCTCTCTCTCGCCTTTTTGAAAAGCGACGAATCGCTGCGAGTGAAAGCCACAAGATACACAAGGGGAAAATACACAGGGTCCATTTAGCTCCGGGGAGGCATTAACCCCTCCGTCGTGACCAAGTACATCGAACTTCTCTGGCTGACCAGCTGAATCGTTCCGGACAGGCGTTCTAGATACTGAATAATACATCCACCATGTTTAGATTATTAATTCGAATGTCTTCTCGAATAAAATTTACCATTTATTCACGGATCACGAGTCATAGTAATGGAAACATTCTGTTTTCAATAACTTTGATCCATTATCTTAACGAAATGTCAGATGGCACATTACTGATATGAACCTTCGATCAAATGCCATACGTTTGACATTTGTTCAACAGCTGTTGCAATTCAAGGCACGATTTTATCCGTCAGTGACCGTCTTAAAAAAGCAACGAATTTTCGAAGATTAATGTAATAGAAAATGTAATTGTGGATACGTGAAATATTTCGTCGATGCGGTTGGATTTGAAAATGACGATTAGCAATGCATTAATCGAAGACATTAATCGAATTAATCTAGAAACAATTGACGCACGTGATTGTTTGCTATCTGACGTCTTAATTTACGTCGTTAGACAGTTCTCTCGAGTTTGCTGGAGAAGCATTACAGAAACCTTTCACCGGCTTCGCGAAATCTTAGCTGTCGCGAAGTGACGTCGTTAAAGAGTATCGACTAAATAAGTGGCACGAAGGTAGGTGCAACAGTTTGTTTCATTGTTCACTCGAGCTCAAAGTTACTTATTCATCGTGTAGTACATGTAATTTATCTGGATATCGATTCAATTCCATTGTGAATCCTTCTTTTGCAATTTTCTTTCGAGTAACTTGACTTAATCTCGAATTCGAAACGATATGTAAGAAAGTTTCTCACGTAGATATATTAAAAGAATAAGTTGCGAAATTGATGATGCATTTCCTGAAAGCTACCTGAAATTCACCTCGCTACATTTTCAATTTTATCGACGATCTTAATAGCCATTATTGAAGGCAAGCCACGATGGGAGAGAGATTGAAATTTAGATATTTCATGGTAGCTTCAGTTTCAAAGCTGTTTTATCAATAAATAATTAGTATTAAAAAAAGTTCCGAAATAATCAAGCGAAAGATAAAAGAAATTATTGTTACTGTGTTTTGCACAAACACCATTTAATTTCGACATTCGCCAATTAATTAGGAGTGAATAGTCACATGGTTGACAACTTCTGTTTACCTTACTCCGTCGAGTTCTTTGTTCACGTGCAAACAGCTGGCAACGATACTTTCGTTCCGATGGTCCCAAAATTGTTCAGGCGTGGTTAACCTAACTCCAGGCAGATTTCCATTTGCTTTGTTGAGGGCTAGGCCGCGTTCGCATCTCGCGGTGATGACGTTGTCGTCCTGCATGAGGTACACGTTCACGTCCGACGTGGCGATCGTCGGGCAATAACGATCGCAGCTAAACGGGCTTTTGATTTTCGTGCACCTCGAGCTCTGACAGCTGAAGAAGCCATTCAGCTTCATGTTGTCCTTCTCGCTGTCGACGACAATGCCGTCGGCCTTGTGGTGGCACAACATCAGCTCGCTTATGTTCACGCAGTGGCCAAGGCTGCAGTTGAACACCCCCGAAAGTACGCTACACTCGCTACCATTGTTGCAATTGTACCTCTTCAGGGACGCCATGTTCACCTGGAACGACAGAGTTCAACTTCGGCTTCAATGTAATTGCGATAATTTGAGTAGAAAGAAGAAAAGAGGCTGTAGATTATATTGATATGTTAGTATTATATGTATTAACGTATTAATGTATTAATATATTATATAATATTGATTCGTTGAGTCAATAGGTTTCCTGAAGAATTTTAGTGCTAATTTTCTTCCTCCGGGAAATGACTCACGTATTTGGTAAAATGAAGACGAAAAGTCGGAGGAATAAAGTAACAAAGACTCATTTCGTTCTATTAATTTCAGACTGTAGGAAAAAACTACGTTTCACATATATGAACATTAATTGATAGTTAACAACTGTAACTGTCGAAATTTGGCATTGTTATAGGCTAGGTCGTCGTGTAAAATTTCGCTGTGAGGGTATAAAAGTCGCGCGACTCATATCTCTTTATTGCCAAGAAGAAGCTCCCTCGAGAGTCATTTATATTCTGTCGTCCGACGTGCGTTTTCTCGTAGATAGAAATTCAGTATGACTGACGTCTAGTTCTATATTTATATAGTTTCATTACTTTCTGTCACGCGCTCTTTTCGATGAACGAAGGCAAATTCTCCGTACGAAAAACAAACACGCGAAAATTGACAAAAGACTCGATTTCATTGGAATTTTTATGTACGATACGTTGTCGGTATTATAGTGAAATAAAAATAGGCGAAAAGCGGTCTACTTCAAATCACGATGCGTGAGGCTAAGATGATCGATAAAAGGTGTGGCAGGCGAGTGGAACACGCCATTAGAAAGTAATTCAAGACGACGAACCCGATCGGAAGCATTACGTAGCAGGTAACGAGGTTAGCGCGTCGAAGTAACCGGCCAGCGGATTATGTTCATTACATTAGCATAACTCGGTAACGTCGTTTGTATCTCGCGCACACGGAGACTTGGCTTTGTCGAAAAACTTCCATCGGGACAACGGAGTATGATACACGCTTGACACGTGCCACGCGGACCTAGAATTTTAAGTAATTAATCTTTCAGTCAGCACGATGATTAACCTCGTTCGTCGCCATTTTCTCACTTGACACTTTTATTCGCTGGCTATGATCCTTCTAGAAAGCAACACTCACGCTCGATAACTCTATTTTCTTTTCTTTTTTTTTTTTTTTTCTCTAGCTTCACACTCGCTTTCGATTATATTAGCAAAAGTTCCGACCGTAAAATAGCGCGATAGTTGCGTTAAAACACTCCCTTCTCGGTGCTTCTCGGATCCTTTCGTCGGTGTGACTGGATTTTTCACGTTTAATTCGATTAAAGCAACGTTCGTCGAACTACTTTCAATCAGCCGGGTTGATTAAAAAAGTGGCTCGCTTTTGAACAGGACGGTCGATCTTTCCCAACCAGGAAATACGAACCAGGTATTCTGCAAGAATGATATTTTCGTGTGATCGTGCGTGTAGATTACCAATCCTGACCCTCTCGGGACAATAAGCGCCGGAAGTGGTGCTGCTGACGTGAAATAATCGAACTCTGAAGGGAAATAAAAATCGAAAAGTCGAATCACTGTTAGTGGCGATCGTCGTTTAAGGCTTCCACTTCCAGTTAATTGTTGAAACAATAGACAGGACTTCCGTAATTACTCTGAACGAAATAATGAAAATAACAGAGAAGCGATGAGAGCGTCTGACGTTGAAGAAAACATCCGAGGATCGAGCGTGTTACTTTTAATGAGACAACGATCCTCAGCGACCAAGATGATGGAAAATTGTTGTTCATTCACGGTGAAATCTATTGTCTGTCGTTTAACAATCTCCCGCTGCTTCGAGAAACGTATTTTCCCGCACGATCTCGCGGGAAGCATAGTTGCAGAGTTACTCGGATCAATTTATTCCCGCAGCAACGAAACGGCACATAGCCTGTCAAAGAAAGCCATTTGCCTGTCCGGAGCGTTGCACTCCTCTGGGAGAAGTTCTCCCGGAAATTATTATACATGGGCGCATCGACGATCGCGATAGAAAGGCCGATATCGACGTGAAAAATTCAGAGAACGTTCGACGATGCACGGGCGGCGAGGCCCGTTTATCTTGCACGCTTCTTACGTCTCGAGATATACAGCGCGTATTTCAATTTCAATTTGAATTTGAACGAAGGTAAGAAAGAGGATAGAAAAATTGCGAAAAATATATATGTTTCTGGTGTGAAGGTAGATGAAAGTGATTTGAAATATTTAATTATTCAATCGAGCCAGGATTGTTGATAAGTTTTTAAACATATACGAATTTTCATTTGCGTAACTTTTTGCTGAAAAAAAAATTTATAACGCGGCGCTCGCACCGCAAGTTGAAGGAGCGTGCGAACTGGCGGTAAAACGTGTCTGGCCATATACGCTCTTATTCCCCTTGCTCGCTTGTTCCACCGAGTTTGGATCAATCGTCAGTTTCCTGTGGTTGGAAAATGATTAAAAAATTTCTCTTTTCACACTTCAAAGGGAAGAAAATCATCTTACACGGTAAAAGAAATTTCATTTATTTTTTTCCGTACCAGGAAATTAGAAGACGACAATAAAATATTCAGCAAATCGTAAATAGCACGTATAAAACGCGTAAATCCATTAAGGGCCAACGTCAAGCCGAGACAACATTTCATTATCAACGTTCTCAGTCCATTATTCAATCCCGTTTTTTCAACGTTATAGTTATAAGTGAATTTCACAAACTTTTATTACTTCTTTCATTTGTTCCATGGAAATGTCTCTTGCGTATTAAAGCATCCATTATTCTCGTTCACGGAACATAAATTTTTAAATTAAGCTTGCCTTCGTATCATTTCAACGTTTGCCCCCTCAATGTATTAAATTTGAATTTCCGATCGAACGTAATCAGAGTGTAAGTAGCAAACCTGCGGGCAAGATATGCTGCTGAATTTCGTGCAGTTCTTGAAAACGATGTCGGTCCCGTTTCTCCGTACGGTTGCGTGGATCTGAGGACAAAATCCCGTGGTTCTCGTCAAGCACCATTCTCCGCAACTCGCCCAGCCGCAATTATTAGTTAACGTCGTGTTAATGGTTTGGCACATGACCGGATCAGGGTCGATCCCCGCGTGAAAGGCTCTGGAAATTAATTGCGTCGCGTTTGTTAATATTTCGCCAACAGCCGTGTAAATCCATTATTCTCGTTCCCTTTCATGACGCGACACCGGTGATAATACAACCGAGTACGCGATGAATTCGTTCACAGAGACTTAGAAAAGCCAGCAACGATTGAAAGATATTTTTGAAATATGAATAAACATCGAGGGACGAAACAACGGAGTAACTAGATCGGGAATTCGTGATTCATAATTCATCAGCGACCGAGAAGATTCTGAGAAAGTCTCTCGCGATTAGAGACAATCCGTCATCGTGTAACAAATTGTTCTTACAGATTGCATCGACTTGTACAGTTGATAAATATCCAGGCAATTTTTAACAATTTTTTTTCTGGTCTGTCTAGTATGTTAACACTAAACGTACCGGCATTTTACATATACCTATCTTACCATAAGG